GGGAGAAAGATGAGACTTTCTGCTCCTTTAAAGATTTTTATCTTACTTTAGTTGAGTTCTGATCATCCAGCCATCGAAGCTAGGTCAAATGGGTACTATCTGCAAGTTTGAGTGTTCTTGTGTGTCTCCCCTCACTTCATGTCAGCTGGACGCTTCACTTTCATCTCTAGCCCTCCATGGCTATATCCTTGTCCATGGGCCCAGGAGTCCAAAGAGTCTTTGGAACATGGTTGAACTCTGCCCATATCTTCATTACTATCCCTTCCTGCCCCTGCTTCCACTCACCAGTAAACCAATATGGTTACCAGCAAGCTTACATGCCAGCTTGTGTATTCCCTTTGAGTTTCAGTCTTGGAAGGGGGACTTGATTGCTTGCCTTTAAAATATTGTTTTAAAAAATTAAATGAGATATGCAAAGTACTTTAGAATTGGGCTTAGTGGTGGTGGTTAAGTGCCATGGATTCGATTCCGACTCACAGAGACCCTGTACAGGGTTTCCGAGACTGTAAATCTGTATGGGAGCAGAAAGCTGCTTCTTTCTCACACGGAACAGCTGGTAGTTTTGAACTACTGACCTTGAGGCTCGCAGCCTGATTCGTAACCACTATACTACCAGAGCTCCTGTAGGATTGTATAAGCACTTCAAAAAATTGAACTGATTGCTGTTGTCATTTCTCACTCTGTCAGTTATTTCTACTTCACAGAGCAGGATAAACACTGCACTACTAACTTCAAGGTCTGGACTATCAATCCACCAGTTGCTCTGCAGGAGAAGTGAGACTTTCCATTCCCATAAAGACGGATAGCCTTGGAAACACTACATAGGGTCACTATGACTTAGTGACAGTGGGTTTGGGTTTTCTGTTTTGCTAAAAGCAACCGAAAACTCAATTCAGAATACCTTAAGTGATAACAGCAAACATGACCTGCTTAAATGGTAAGAACACATTTGAGCTCAGATATCAAGGGATCCAGATATGAAGGTTCAGGTTGGCTAACTCATTGTCTGCAATAGGGATCCAGGTGTATTCTAGCTTTGCTCCATGTGTTCACAGGATGTTGCTACAGTCTAGGCATTACCTGCAACAAGACCACCTTCAAGGAAGTGCCTTTTAATTACAGTGGGAAGACTACTTGAAGCCAGCAAAGTCTCGTTTTGTCTAACTAGTGATGATTGAGTTATTTGCCCCTTCCCAGACCTGTCACAAAAAGGAAATGGAATTACCAAGATTGTTATATAGATTAAGATCCACCTCTTGGAGCTGGAAATAAGATTACCTTCCTTAAGCCTAGGTTATCTGAAGAGGGCAAATACCAAAAAAAAAATTTGGCCTAGATCAATGAGTGCAGCAAAGAAGGAAGGTTTAGGTAGGCAACTAGTATGGTGGTGGTGGTTATAATTGTGTGCCAGTGAGTTGGTTCTGATGCATAGCTACCCTGTAGAGGGTTTCCAAGGCTGTAGTCTTTACGGGAGCAGAAAACCTCCTCTTCTGCTGAGCAACTGGTAGATTCAAACTGCTGACCTTGCAGTTGGCAGCCCAACTCGTAATCCACTATGCTACCAGGGCTCCTTAACTAGTGTATTATGCTACCCTATGTTTTTCTCATCTGCTTTCTTTTTCTTCCAAGTAAAATTGACTTTGTTTTACACATCACTTAAGAGACAGTGGTCTCAGTGGAAATGACTATGATAGAATTCTTAAAACTTAGATTAATCACCATCTGTTTATGGGTATCTGTAAGAATCTAATGCTCAAGTTTTCCTGTTGCCCAGATAAATGAAGGAAATCATGTGATTCTTTAAAACTTGAGTTGGAATATGTACCTATATTCCACAGGCAATATTAGAAAGAAACAGTGAGTGCTTGAACTTGAACACTGAAGTTAGTACAGGCATCTAGGACCCAAACCAAACTCATAGCATTGAGTTGATTCCAAATTACAGTGATCCTACAGGCCAGAGTAGAACTGCCCCATAGAATTCCAAGGCTAATCTTTACAGAAGCAAACTGCCACATTGTTTATTGTGAAGTGGCTGCTAGGTTCAAACTTCCAACCTTTTCAGTTAGCAGCTAAGCACTTAAACACTATACCATCAGGGCTCCTGGTGTCCCGATAGTTGTGCCTTTTCTAACTCACATGTGAAGGAGAACTGTAAAATTATTATTGTGATTTGAAGAAGCATTCCTGTCTGATAACTGAAAACCCACATTGAAAAAAGAAACAACCAACTGCTTTCTATTTTTCTTTATTACCTTTTTCTGACGGATAGTCTATTTGAGGCTATTTAAGCCTAAAACAGAGAAAAATATTTAAGATCTATTGTGTAGAAACAAAAGGAAATCTAATTTTCTGCTCTAAGGCAGATTTAGGATTATAGTTGAAGCAGTTCATAGCTGCTTGTGTTTATTGTTGATTACTGCTCTCGGTTCTGATTCATAGTGACCCTGTATAGGGGTTTCTGAGGAGGATCTGGTGGATTTGAACCACTAACCTTGCAGTTCAAACTGACCTTGCAATCCAGTACTTACCTACAGTGCTGCATCAGAACTCCATAGCTTGTTATAGGGAGCAACTATGTAACAGAAATCAGGGGATGATCCTGTCCCAGGAGTTCTCCAGGAGAAACTAGAAGGCTCCGCTTATGAAGTTAAAGAAAGGAACTCTGGAGGAGATTGTGTGAGGTGATGTCTAAGAGCCCTTCCAATTCTAATTAATTAATGTTTAGCAACTAAGAAAGAAGGCATGAACTGCATTTTTACTAGTACTTCAAATGGAAGCGGATATATGTTTGTGTATTTATGTAGTTCCCCTGTACAACCAGTACTCCATAAAGTGCTTTAGGTTTATACTTTTTTGTCCAACATCTTGTTAATATTATTATTGGATGCACAATAGAACGAAACACTGCCTGGTCCTGCGCCAACCTCACTATCATTGCTATGATTGAGCCCATTGCTGCTTCCAATGTGCTAATCTATTCAGTTGGGGGTCTTCCTTTTTTTCTCTGATCCTCCACTTTACCAAGCATGATATTCTTCTCCAGGGACTGGTCCCTCTTGATAATATGTCTGAAGTGTGAGAGACAAAGTCTGGATTCCAAGGAACATTCTAGCTGTACTTCTTCTAACACAGTTCTGGACCACAAAGTCGATTTGAACCAAAAGGTGGCAGTTCAAACCCATCAGCCACTCCTTGGAAACCCTATACAGGGTCGCTATGAGTCAGAACTTAACAACAAATCTAACCCTAAGCAAACCAAGTCTCTGGGCCGCTGCTTAAGAATTGCCACAGGGTGAGCAAAGGAATAGCCTATAGACCATTTTAATGGAGAAAGGTGTTACCTGTTCTTCTTGACAACAATTTAAACTGATTTGAAGGAGGGATAAATGACTGATGGACAATTTTCTTAAAACGTTGCTTATTACTTAGTCTTAGTTCTAGGGCCACACTAGGAATAGATATGACATTTGGGAGAATTCTAGTCTTTATCTTTTTAAAGGAGGGTCAGAAGTATTCAGGATTGTAGTCAACAATGCATGTAAAGAGAAAACTCTACAAACCATTTTGGAGCTAAGCACGTTTGACTCCAACAGTTGCTTAAGGATATGAATCCTTCATTCCTGTTTCTGAATTTGTGCTTAGAAAACAGTATTGGCATCAATGCAGAATTTGCAAGTATTTATAATAAATGACATAAAGCCATCATCTCTGACTACAGAAGTTTTGCATTAGGAGGAAATAAATTGACTGAATACAAATGGAGAATAGCAAAGTGAAGTTTCTCTGTTCTTCCAGGGAGAGACCCAGTCTTTCTGAAAGACAGATGACTACAAAGTTTTATCTTGATGTTTTAGTTTACTTAAGAAAAAGGAAAGAATTTAAGACTCTATAATATTGTCTGAATTTGCTATTATTAATGGAAGAACAGCTTGAAGTTGGTAACTGTCTTAGTTTCCTAGTACTGTTGTAACAGAAATACCACAAGTGGGTGGTTTTAAGAACAGACATTTAAAAGTCCAAATGAGAGTCTCAGCCATGTCAGTTCTCTCTTTGTAGGTAGTCCTGGGCGTTCCTTAGTTCCTTGGCATGCAAGCAGTCTTCACATGGAGACTGCAGTCCCTGTGCCCCCACCATTTGTATGCATATCTCTTATGTCTGATCTACTCTTTCAGAAGTCAGAAGTGATTCTATTTATAACTCACCCTACTTGAGAATGATCAAATTAATATAACAAAGAAAGCCCTATTTCCAAATCGGATTACATCCACAGGTATAGGGATTAGAATTTAATCCATAACAGCATTGCTGTATTTTGTAGTAGTTGAGGAAATTCTCCTTTGGGAAGGGAGAGTGTTCCGTTCTAGTAATGAACAGAGCTATTTTATATTTTTTTCTTCTTTCTGGAGAGACTATAGTGAGTTAACTCCATGTAATGATCAAGCTGAAAATGATCCACGTAATGATCAAGCTCAGTGGAACAAGAGAGAGCAAATAAACTACCAAGAGGACTCATACTGAATTGCTCTAGAACTGAATCCTGGTGAATCTCAAAATAATTACACTGAGTAAAAGAAGATAGACAATATACGAGGCCATTTATATAAAATTCTAGAAAATACAGACTCATCTATGGTTGACTGAAGATGGTGGAGACTGGGAGGAGGACCTGAGGAAACATGGGTGGCAGATATGTTCACTGTCTTGATTGTGGTGATGGTTTTACAGGCTGTATGTCTTATTACTCATCAAATTGTACATTTTACATGTATGATACATAATTTGTTAATTCCACATCAATATAGCTTTTAAGAAAAGAAATCCAGGTGCCACATTTATCAAAGGACTCTTTTCTGAAATATAAGGAGGCTGCTGATGAAATTATATATATGTGAAATACAAATCTGTACATGTAGAGTTTATGTATGGGCATATGCCTCTTGTTTAATACATTTAATTTTTCTTTAGGAGTCCATAGAGGCTATTGTGTTCTATTGAAGATGTCTAACAGTAACACTACTCAAGAGACCCTGGAAATAATGAAAGAATCAGAAAAAAAACTGGTGGAAGAATCTGTAAGCAAAAACAAGTTTATATCTAAGGCTCCGAGTAAGGAAGAAATTGAGAAAGAAGGTGAAGATACTAATTTACGCCAGGAAACACAGGTAAGGATTAGGAACACATCATATGCCCACATTTCTTATGTTATTGTTAGGTGCCATTGAGATGGTACCGACTCATAGCCAGCCTATGCACAACAGAATGAAACTGCCTGGTCCTAGGCCATCCTCACAGTGGTCTGCGTTTGAGCCCATTGCTGCTACCAGTGTGCCAATCAATCTCATTGGGGATTATCGTCTTTTTTAATATTCTCCCCAACACAATAACTGAAGTGCATCAATTCTTCTACTGTCTTCCTTATTCAATGAGCAACTTTCACATGCATCTGAGGTTATTGAAAATACCATGGCTTGGGTCAGGCACACTTTAGCCCTCAAACTGACATCTTTGCCCTTGAACACTTTAAAGAGGTCTTGTGCAGCAGATTTGCCTACTGCAATACATTGTTTTGAGGACTTCCATGAGTGTTGATGGTTGATCTGAGCAAAATTCAGTCTTTGACAACTTCAATCTTTCTCTATTTATATGGATGCTGTTTATTGGTCCAGCAGTGAGGATTTTGGTTTTCTTGCATTAAGGTGCAATCCAGACTGAAGGCTGTGGTCTTTGATCTTCCTCAGTAAGTATTTTAAGTCCTCTTTGCTTTCAGCAAGCAAAGTTGTATCATCTGCATATCGTAGATTGTTAATGAGTCTTCCTTCAATCCTGATGCTACATTTTTTTTTACATATAATCTAGCTTCTCAATTTATTTGTTCAACATACAGATTGAGTAAGTATAATGTAGGAATACAACCCTGGTGCACGCCTTTCCTAATTTTAAACCATTCAGTATTCCCTTGTTCTGTTCAAACAACTGCCTCTTGGTCTATGTACAGCTTCCTCGTGAGCACAGTTAAGTATTCCGGAATACTCATTCTTCACAATGTTGTCCACAACTTATTATCCACACAATCAACTCTTTGCTTAGTAAATAAAACACTTTATTGTAAACATCTTTCTAACATTCTCTGCTTTTAACCAAGATCCATCTGATAATCAGTAATGATATTCCTTATTCCACATTCTCTTCCGGATCCAGCTTGAGCCCTGGAAGTTCTCTGTCGGTGTATGGTTGCAGCTGCTTTTGTATTATTGTCTTTAGCAAAATTTTATGTGCATGTGATAATAATGATTGTCAGATGATATCTGCATTCCATTGAGTCACCTCTCTTTGGAATGGGCACAGATATGAATCTTCTCCAGTCAATTGGCTAGGTAATTGTCTTCCAAATTTCTTGGCATAGATGAGTGAGTACCTCCAGTGGTGCATCATTTTTTTTGAAAGATTTCAATTTGTATTCCATCAATTCCTGGTGCCTTGTTCTTTGCTAATGCTGTCAATGCACCTTGGACTTATTCCTTCAGAATCATTGGCTTTTGATCATATTCTACCTCTTTAAATGATTGAACATAGATAATTTATTTTTTGTACAGTGATTCTGTGTATTCCCTCCATCTTTTTTTTTTTTAATGTTTTCTGCATCATTCAATATTTTGCCCATAGAATTCTTCAATATTTCAAGTCAAGGCTTGAATTTGTTCTTCAGTTCCCTCAGCTTGAGAAATGCTGAACATGTTCTTCCCTTTTGGTTTTATAATTCCAGTTCTCTGCATGTTTTCCTATAATATTTGACTCTGTATTCTCCAGCTGCCCTTTGAAACTTTCTATTCAGCTCTTGTACCTCCTCATTTCTTCCATTTCTACGTAGGAGAGCAAGTTTCAGAGTGTCTTCTGACATCCAGTTTGGTCTTTTCCTTCTTACTTGTCTTCTTAATGACTGTTTTCTTCCTGTATGATGTTACTTTTATGTCATCCTACAATTCTTTCAGTTTTTGGTCTTTAGTGTCTGAGTCATCAAATCTGTACTTGAGATGATCTCTAAATTTAGGTGGGATATTTTCAAGGTCATATTTTGGTTCTTGTGGACTTGTTTTAATGTTCTTCAGCTTTCGCCTGAATTTTCATATGAACAGTTGATGGTCTGTTTCACAGTCTGCCCCTGGCCTTGTTTTGGAGCTTTTCCACTGTATCTTTTCACAGATACAGTCAGTTTGATTTCTGTGTATTCCATCTGGTGAAATCCATGTATATTTTCAATGAAGAAGTCATTTGTCTTGCAAAATTCTGTCATGCGATATACAACGTGGTTTCTATCACTAAGGCCATATATTCCAACTACTGTTCCTTCCTCTTTGTTTTCAACCTTTGCATCCCAATCACTGGTAACTATCACTACATCTTGATTGCATATTTGATCAATTTCAGACTGAAGAACTTGGTAGAATTCTTGTTTCATCATCACTGGCTTTAGTGGTTGGTGTGTAAATTTGAATAATAGTGGTATTAAATTATCAGCATTGTACTTCAAGCTAGATTTTGATAAGTTCATTTTGATGACGGATGCAACGCCATTCCTCTTCAATTTGTCATTCCTGGCATAGTAAATCATGTGATTGTCAGATTCAGAATGGTCAAAACCAGTCCATTTCAGCTCACTGATGTCTAGGTATCAATGTTTATGCATTTTTCATTTTTGACAATTTCCAGTTTTCCTAGACTCATACTTTGTACATTGCTTGGTCTGATTATTCATTGATGTTTACAGCTGTTTCTGTTTATTTTGAGTTGTGCCGCATAAGCAAATGAAGGTCTCGAGACTTAACTCCATCCACATAATCACAGTCAACTCTACTTTGAGCAGGCAGTTCTTCCTCACTCATATTTTGAGTGCCTTCCAACCTGAGGGACTCAATCTTCCCCCCACTATATGTGACAATGTTTTGATGCTCTTCATCATGTTTCAGTATTCAATATTCTGTTACTAACAGTGTTCCACTGCTATTTATAAGATTTTCCGTGACTAAATATTCGGGAGTAGTCTGTGTCTCTTTCTTCCTAGTCTGTCTTTGTCTGGAAGCTCTGCTGAAACCTGTCCACCGTGGGGGACCCTGCTGATATTTAAAGTACCCATTGTGTAGCTATGGCACTGTGGGTTAATGCGCCAGACTGCAAAGCCATTTGAACTGCAAGGTCAGCAGTTCAAGCTCACCAGCTGCTCCTTGGAAACCCTATACGGGGTCGCTATGGGTTGGAACCGACTCAACAGTACGTCACAACACAACAACAAATTGTGTAGCTTCCAGAATCACAGTAACAGACAAGCCACAACAGTACAGCAAACTGACAGAGTGGTGGACATTTTTTACACTTAAGTAAAAATGTCATTTTAGTGTGGCATTGGAAATCTATAAGAAGTCAGTCACTTACATGAACAGTCTTCAATCCCTGTTGTAAGAACTCCAACTTCAGCTTTAAAAGAAACAACTTTACCTTGTTTTTGTTGGAGGAGTCCACAAAGAAAACTAAAGAGGAATGCGTGAAATCCCTAATCTACCTAGGCCTGTTGGTACGTTTATTTACTGAACTTTGGTATAACACAAAAAAATGTAAATAAACATATTTACCAAGTCATAAAGTGGCTCATGCATTAAACTCTAAAAACCAGAGCTGCCTGGCTTTACACACAGGTTTAAATTCATGTCATGCTTTTGTTCAATTAGTCAGCATTTTCTGGGTCAGAAATAGTTTCTAAACTTGTTACTTAGTAAGTGTGAGTGAGAGTTATCTTATTCTTTGGTTGTCATGTTATTTTCCATCCAAATCCCTATTGCGTTACAGAAATGGTGGCAGTTGGTAGTTGGCCAAGCTTCTTCCAAAGTTTCCCTTTGGTACCCAGCCAGCCTGGTATCTGAGCCTTTTTCTAGGCCTATCTGTTCGAACCTCATGGTCATTCCTGGTTTCCTCTGTTGTTGTTGTTAAGTGCCGTTGAGTCAGTTCCAACCCATAGCAACCCTGTATGGGGTTTCCAAAGAGCAGCTGGTGAGCTTGAACCACCTAACTTGCAGTTCAAACGATTTTGCAGTCTGCTGCATTAGCCCACAGCACTACCCAAGTTAAATATCATTGTTTCCTTTGTGCCAAGGGCTTAAACTGGCCTTTATTATAATCTCAGGAGATTTTCCTGTAACTAGTAAGTAGTTTAAAAAGCAGGAGTGACAACATTGTGAAGGTTTTAGAAACTGGAAACATAATTTCTCTAGATATGCCAGTTCACCTAGATCTTGTCGTCTTTAAAGATTAAAACACTGAACCAAGTATAAAAGGAGAAATTAAAATCAGATCTCTGAAATATTTTGTTACTAGCTGCCTATTTTACTACTGTTGTCCCTCATACAGTTTTCTAGCTTTTTTTAATGCATATCTGTTACCATTCCCTATTCATCCTTCCAAAGTTTTGGAGACAAGAGTGTCACTTTTTCAACTATACTTCTAGGCTCTACTGATACTGATAATGAATTTTAAATCCTCAGGACAAATAAATGTTGCATTTTAATTATGTGTTGTCATAGTACATGAGGGATAATTAGATATGTTTTTGTGTCCAAGTTATTCTATTTGCAAGAGACTACATAAGTGGTGTTTTGAACTCTTATGTATACTTCTTGAAGACAGGCAGGAGAAAAAAAGGACATCTGTAGGTTTTATACTGCCTATGGATACTCACTGATTTAAAAATGCTTTCCTCAGGGAGGCTTTAAAATATTTGTGGGAAAATTGCATTATCTTTTAATTCCATTTTTCCACAAACTTTTTGAAGCCCCCTTTACAAACAGCTTGCTGGAGGGAAGGTTGACTCCCCTTCTGACTAGACTCCTTTTGCGAGCTGCCTGCTGCCATCTACTGGAGCTCCTGAGCCCTCTACAAAGTCTGATCTTATCTGCCACCCTCCATCCTATGTAACAGTGCCTGAGGGAGCTCAGTGCCCTCTACAGAGCATGTGTTCCTTGAAGGGCTTTATAAATTCTCTGCTTTTTCTTACCCTTCCCACCCCACCCCACCCCACCTCACCCCGACATCTCCCCCAAGAAATTAACCAGTGCTATCAATGCAGTCCTGTTATATATAATAAATAGGTGCTGAAAAGTTTGGGTAAGAGAACTTTCATTACTTGGACTGTGTGAGATACATTCTTGGATCACCAACTGGAATGCAGAACATCTTTTCCAAGGAAAAATGCTATAAAAGACAGCTTCTGAGGTTCTGTTTAGAATGAGCAAGCCCCCACTTGTTGAATTCTTTTGTTTGTTCTCTGCTGTCAAGTCTTTTCTGATTGTAGGGTTTCCTAGAGTAGCTGCTGGATTTGAATTACCGAGCTGTGGTTACTGGTTTAGTGCTTATCCTATAGCACCATGTCAAGGCTTAGAAAATGGCTGTGAAATAAAGATCTGATAGTGTTAATTCTCTTCTTCAGACTCATTACCTTAAGCTAAATCCTAGCTTTCTCAGCATAGCATATTGTGACCTGTTCTCTTGCCTGCCAGCCATCCGTCTATGACATCCTATTCAGCCTTTTCTGATTCTTTGATCTTTATTATAAAGGAGAGCTAAAATGTTTTCAGGGAAGCAATCTTTTGTACATGCTGTCTCTACCTAGAATATTCTCCTTGCTATTCTTGCCCTGACCGCCTCTAACCCCTAACTCGCCACCCACCCTCAGTATCTAACCCAAACCACCAAACTCATTGAGTCCATTCCCACTCATAACAACCCTGTGTAGGTTTTCTGAGGCTGTCATTCTTTATGGGCTCTGAAAACTTCATCTTTCTTCTATGGAGCAGCTGGTAGGTTAGAACCACCGAGTTTGTGGTTGGCAGTTCAGTACCTGTCCTACAGTGTCACCAGGGCTCCTTTGTACAGGAAACTTTCCTTGGCAACCTTACTTATTACCCACTTCAGGTCTTTACTCGTATAATTCTCCATTTAGTATTCCTCCTTCACAGAGTTGTAAAGTTCTTGGAGAGCCAGGTGTAGGTCAGTGTCAGCTTCCTATTGTGACCGTGAGACCAAACATAGTACTTTGTACATATCAGGCACTCACTATTTCAATATTTATGAACCTGTGAGTTTATGTATTACTTGATCTGAGTTGGAGTCCTGGTGTGGCGCTGTAGGATAAGGACTGGAGTACAAGCTTGTTTGAACTGCAAAGTCGGCGGTTCAGTCTCACCAGCCCCTCCTCAGAAACCTTTACAGGGTCGCTATGAGTCAGAACCAACTCAACAGCACTTAACAACAACAGGTCTGAGTTAGATGCTTCTACTGTGTGCTCTTGTAGTACTCTATGCATACCTCTGGAGTACATTTAATATAGTGTTTTAATTGTCTTCTCCAAGAGAATTATGCGTTTCTTTTTGTCAAGGTTTGTGTCTTTTTTCTTGGTATCCCCCAGTAGCTAGTGCCTGGCACATGTTAGGCTTTCAGTATGTGTTTGAAATGAAATCTGTCCGTTCTGGGAAATAAGAAGATTCATGCTTATTATGGGGTATAATTGGTATAACCTCTTTAAAGGACAATTTAATGATACTTTATAAAACTAAAAAAAATGCTCTTCTAGGACTTTATCATACAGATTTACTATGTTTGTAGGTATATTCAGAAATTTGGTCATTGAAGTGTTATTTAAAGTAGTAAAAGAACATAAACATCCTAAATGATATAATTTTAGGAACTGATAAAATAAGTATAATATAACCACACGATGGAACACCATACAACTATTAAGAAAAACAGGGTAGATCTTCTATAGAATGATATTCTTGGGGAAAAAAGACGTTATAAAGCAAGGCTTAGAGCATTGTGTATAGTATACTTTTGTTTAAAAAAAACAGCTATGTGCATGCAAGTGCTCATGAGCTTATCTTTGTATAAAAGATCTCTAGCTCTACCCACTACCTTGCTGATGCTCTGTCTCTGTCTAAAGCTGGGGTAGGACACAGATGTTAAGGGAGTATTTATTATTATATATCTTCCCCCCTTATACCTCTTAAATGTTTGTGTCATGTATATATGTACTATCTATTTTTTAAAATGCTTCAGACTACTGAACCACAACTCTTCCTCTTGCTACAACAGATCTTGTCACTGATTAAATCCACTGTTTCTTACTGTTTCCATCTACTGTCCTTCTGCCAGTGCTGCTTGGTATAGCTAGTAACGAAAACAAAGGCAAAGGAAATCCCCGCCTACCCACTACCATGCTGGTGCTCTGTCTCTGTCTAACCCAAACATCTTGTAACTGCTAATTGCCTTGTCCCATATAGCCCATTACCTCTTCCAAAAGTCCCCAGTTTGGCTTCTCAGCTATTCAGAAATCATATCAATTAAGAAATCTCCTTATCCCACCTCAGGTCCTCATTCTTCATCTTCTCAGCTTCTATTCTGCTCCTTTTCCATTCTCACTCCCCTTTGTTTTGGGTATCTTGTTTCTATCTTCTTTCTTACCCTTTTCCATCTTACATTCCATTCCTGACCCAGAGCTATAAGAACTACCACCAGGGGCTTAAAACTGGGAGAATTCTCATAATTTGGGAGGGGAGACCATTGGGAACAAGAGTTTTCATCTTTTTCTGCAGTCAAAGGGCCAGAAGTCTATGTTGTCCTATAAAGGTATTATATATATATATATATATATATATATGGCTGAGGGTCATGTTTCACCATCTGTTGTGGGCTAGATATGCTCCTGTGTGCAAGTCTGGAGAGAAAATCCTCTCTCATGCTACAGTACTTTTCAGAATCATCCTGATCAGGAGAGGACTGCCTCATTTTTTGTTGCAGCTGGTGGTTTTGAACTGTCAACCTTTCAGTTAGCAGTTTGGTTCTTATCCTACAATGCCAGTGGAGCTCCTTAGAAGTAGCTTTTATCACTCTGAAATGAGCCCCTCCTATTTGTGAGTGCTGGTTTGACTTTAAGTGGTCTGTAATCCCTTCTGTGTTGCAGTTGCTGGAGTTGTCGTCTAGAGGGACCGTCCTATCAGTGGTGCTCATAATAGTTGTGATGTGGCTATGGTTATAATGGTTTTTACTGCTTGTGATATTTTTTTTTGGGGGGGGGAAGTGGGGTGTAAATATGTATTAATTTTAAATTAAGTTTTAATTTCCCCCCAAATATTTTCTAATTCCTTTCTCACAGAGGCGGACATCCAACCATGGTCATGCCAGGAAACGAGCCAAGGTGAGCTCCCTTCTGCTACAGCTTCTTTACTAGTGTCATCAGTAATAATTTTCACAAATGGACTCATTACCAATATCTAGTTTATTGAGATCATATATAGGTAGAGTGCTCTTGTCTGCGTTTTGTAACTTTATCATATGCATGAATGCACATGGACACACACACATTTCCTATTGGTCTGGTTTTATTTCCTCTAGTATCTCGAGTTCAGGCACAGTCTGTTTCTGATGTATGAAAAGATACCCAACTGGAGCCTCCCAACTGCACCTGAATGATGAATCAGTACTGGTTCTGCTGAAATGCCAGTTTCTGTGATCATCCTGGCTTCTCTAGGAGATGTTTTCACTATGTAGGTTAAGGCACAGACGAAGGCTTTGTTTTTAAGCATTATATGATAAAATTAATATAGCACAAGCTATTTTAAGCAGAGCTATCATGGAAGACTATATGTGTTAGTGTGTGATAGCTTTTTAATTATCTAGGGAAGATTAAAATATCAAGCTTTGTTTGCACTGGGAAGAATTGTCACTGGAAGTAATAACTAAGAGGTACCCCTTCGACCAGAGAAATAATGGCAAAATTTGGAGTGACCGAACCAGTATGTGGCTGAAGGGAAACCAAGAAGTATGTTCATTGGGCTTTGTCCTGCCTACATGACCTAATCCACAGTGATGGCTATAACACTGAAGTTCAAATCAAAGGGTTCCTCACAAACTTTTTTAGATAATTAAGATAGTTATTATTTTCATTTTACAGATGAGGAAATGTAGGCTTCTAGAGTGACTGCTTTGACAAAGGACATTGAGTATTAAGTGATCAAACTAGGTTTGAAGTCAGGTCTTCAGATTTGCCAGTGCTTTTGTAGTAGCAATAAAGCTTGTTTTGTTTTGTTTTTTTATAAGAACTCTCCATAAATAGTAATATCTTTCTAGTCACTCTATAATTTTTGGCATTGGATCCTTATTAGAGCAATGGTTTGAACAGTTGATTTCAGATCTTTTTTTTTTTTTTAATTCTCCAACCAGCTGGGTTTGCATTTTGTAGCATTGAATCAGCAGTATTATGTCTTTCTTTTCATTCTTTTTGTAGACATCCTTTTCATACCCTTGGCCACCTTAGGCTTAGAGTCATTTAACATTTATTGTCTACTGTGTGCCAAGGGAGGAGCCTAGTGGCACTGTGGGCTAAACACCGAGCTGCTAGCTGCAAGGTCAGCTGTTCAAATCTACCAGCTGTTTCATTGGAGAAAAATGAGACTGCTCCTATAAAGATGTTTAATCTCAGAAACTTCTACTCTGCCCTCCAGGGTCGCTTTAAGTAGAAATCAACTCAGTGATAGTATGTGAACATACTTTGTATCATCTGAGTCTGGCGCCAACCCTTTAGATAGTTTTATCCCAGCTTTATTAAGGAAAGAGCAGAGGCTCAGTGAGGTCAAGTGGTTTTCTCAGTGTCTTCTGGCTCCTAAGTATAAAAGTAGCAGTTGAAGCTAGGCCTTTTGGCTGTCTAATCTGTCTTTCCTACAGTGTCATACCTCCTGTGTGTTTCCAGTAAACGTCTGAGTCTGAAATTAGAGCACTGGGCTAGAAAGAGAGGTTCAAGTGAGGCAATTTTTCTGCCATCCTCTCCAAAATAGCCATTATGTTTTTACATCTCTAATGTTGCATTTAACAACAACAACTGTTGCAAGCACGATAATAATTGTTAAAAACAGTGAATCCGGAGGTTATATTATAAGCACGACCTGTTTTGTTTTGTTTTATTTTTGGGGGGGTGGGGGGTGCGTGGAATGCTGTTTATTGGAAACAGCAACAGAGCCAAATATATATTCATTTAGCCGAAAGTACCCAGCAAGAGAATATTTGTATGTATTTGATTTTTCCCAGTCTAACTCCAAGCTGAAGTTGGTACGCAGCCTGGCAGTATGTGAGGAGTCCTCTGCCCCGTTTGTTGAAGGGCCACTAGAAAGCCAGGTAAGTCCTTTATAGGAATTAATGGCAGTTTTTGAGTTAGGCACCTATCATTATCCAGGTTCACGGCAGAAGTAACTTCAAAACAGAAGCTTTTGTTGTAAAGCAAGACTTGAATAAGATCATGAAAATCTTCACACTCAACCACCCCAGATGATGCAGGTTTCAGATCTTGCTCTTATTTCCCCTTCATTTTCAGTGGTTAGAACCATTTTCATTCCATTATGTTAGTCAAAGCCAGTGTTAACATGAGTTCTCCATATGGTAGGCTGTGATTGCTAGCAAAAAAGGCTTAACCTTTACCTTTTGATAGGCTAAAAGCTAAAGAAATTTAATTAACAACATAGCACTCTTCTATAAGACAAAGCTGCCATCCTAAGATTTGCCTTTGAGATTCCAAGGTAACTGCAGGACAATTAAAATAGTCTCCTCCCTTTGCTTAAATCCCCTTTCCTCTTCTCTAAGGATATAATTCAATTGCATATCAGTTGCCCCTCTGACAAGGAAGAGGAAAAGTCTACAAAAGATGTCTCTGAAAAGGAAGACAAGGACAAAAATAAAGAAAAGATCCCAAGGAAGATGCTGTCCAGAGGTGAGGCCTGCCCCCTAACCCCCATTTGTCCTTGAACCTGGCACCCACTGACTTTACTGGCCTGAGGGCTGACTACTTGGTTGTATTGGGAGGTGCCTGACTTGGTTACTTTCTGCCTTAGGGGCTCACGTGTTTCTAAGAGCCATCCCATTTGCATTGGTCTACTCATAAGGTACATTTTAATCAATACTGATTTGATTTGTGCTTCTGGCATAAACAGTGATATGGCTGATCCTTCAGATACCATGTACATTTTGGTTTGGGGACTCTTGGAGTGGTTTTAAAATTTTTATTTTAATTCTGCACATTTGTCTCTATTAGACTTTCTTTAAACTCTTGGACTCAAAGGGAGAAGACATAGTCCATAAAAGTAATAGCTGCCAACAAAAAAGCAGACTTGGGATTAAAATTTGAAGTGAGTCATCCATAAATAATCAACATTTGAGCATGTTTAGTGAGATTCTAGAAAAGCAGCCTTAGAATTTATTTACTTTTACTGCAAATTGCGAGGTCCAAGGTTCGAGTCCACCAGCCACTCTGCAGGACCAAGATGAGGCTTTCTGCTTCCGCAAAGATTTAAAAGCCTTGGAAACTCTATACAAGGTTGCTATGTGTCAGAATCGACTTATAAGGCTACTTCACAACAACAAAATAAAACCTACTTTGGGCAACGCATTCCATAAATAATGGTTATAAAGGTGGCTTTTCAGTGTAGTACTGATGCAGCACTGTGACCCAGATGCCTCATTCAGTCATGGTCATGGAGAATTTGGTGAGGTTGGCAGCCGATCAAGATTACCCTAGTTTTTAATGCTACAACCCCTACTTTTCTATTATTATCCTATCTCCTGATCAGACTGTAGGCTTCTGTTTGGCATCAAATGTGCAAGACAGTTTCATTTATTTTCTATTTCTTTTGTTACCATGGTTCTAGACTCCAGCCAAGAGTATACGGACTCCACTGGAATAGACCTACATGAATTTCTTGTAAATACACTGAAAAAGAACCCAAGGTAATAACATGATTTAATGGAAGGGGAAAGGGGTGCCCATGAGGCCAAGCAGCTTCTAGAATTTTCTATTATTAGACTCTAGGGTACCCATCCCTTAGCACCATTTCTCTCCAGTGGAGTTGCATATTCTGTGAGGGATTCAAAATATCTTTAGATAGAAGTTGATGCTTTTGGAGGAGTTGAGGGAAACATGGTGGGAGAAGACAACAGAGATGAAGAAATGTGAAGGTTTGGGGAGTGCACTATGATAGAAAGTACAGAAGGAAAAGACAAAAAAAATTATTTTGTGCATACACTAAGGTATAAATTGCTTTAAAATCCTATACATTACCAGATGGAATGATTAAATGTATAAGAGCAAATTGTATGAGTATTGTTGCCAGCAGACTTAGATCTGCTATGGAAAACAAAGTATATGATTAGGAAGGAACTGCAAAATATATACTTGAGTTGTTTGTATTTTTTCTTTTTCTTTTCAGAACACCGTAGGACAGGCTAGTAAAATTAGTCATCATTGCCTTATAGTCTGCTATTTGAGTTTGGATGTATCCCTCCCCTCATCTTCTGTAGTGAGAAAGTTGTGTTTTCAAATTCCTGCTTTCAGTGTCTGTGGAAGGACTGCTTTTTGTTATGTTTTCATCTTTTTTAAAACAGGGACAGAATGATGCTGCTAAAATTAGAACAGGAGATTCTGGACTTTATTAATGACAACAAGTAAGTAACTTGTATGAAAGACGTAGTGGTGGGAGGGGACACTGGAAAGATATTTAGGTACAGTTTTAGGACATCTGTCCCTCATTTTTCTATTAAAGTCCTAATTTTGAACTAACTACAAACTGGGAACCAAAAGGAGTTGGAGAAAAGTAATAACAGTAGATAAAAAAATTTTTGTATGTCGATAAACAGAGTGAGGTTTTTAAGTTATTTGCATAGATTTGAGTTGGAGGGGGAAATTGCATTTTTTCAATACCTTGCCCTTGTCCCAGATGTTACTATTCTTAAATTTCTCCCTATTCCTAAGCACTTTGGACTTAAGACTTAAAGAGTATCCCTAATGAGGCTTGTGAGTCAGAGTGATCTGCAGTACTGTAGAGAAAGAAACTGAGAGGAACCTTTTTGGTTTCTGTCTTCATTGTTATGAAGAGACCTTGTCTGCTGGTCTCTTTCATTCAAGAATTTTCCAACTTTTACACACTTGTAAGAAAAAGTACAGTTGGCTGTTATCACTGTTATTTGTCCTTACATCATTTCCCCTCTCCTGGGTTTCCTTCAGTAACCAGTTCAAGAAGTTCCCTCAGATGACCTCATATCACCGGATGCTATTACATCGGGTAGCTGCCTATTTTGGGATGGACCACAACGTTGATCAAACTGGAAAAGCTGTCATCATCAACAAAACCAGTAACACAAGAATGTAAGAGGTTGGGAAGACTTCCCTGGGATAACCTGCTTGGGTGGGAGAAGGTGTGTGAATGGGCACTGTGGAAAGGTATCATCAGTTCCACTCCCATACAAACACTCCACTCAAGGCATTGGGCACTTAACAACAGATTTGGAAGGTACTGATTGCAACTAGCTTCTCCTCACTTTCAATGATAGGACAAAGGTAACTTTGGAGCAAGGCAAGTTATAGATGTATAATGAAGCCTAAGGATTTCATTAAAACCTTTATGTGACTTTTTGGGAGCCCAACTCCAGAAACACCCTGAGTAGACAGTTGTGGAATATAAAAGAACTATACCTAAGAGGTCTGCTTCCTATTAAAAGGGTCTTTTTCTTCCTTTTCTTCCACATTTCTGTCCCAACCCCAGTCCTGAACAGAGATTCTCAGAACATATAAAGGATGAGAAGAATACAGAATTTCAACAGAGATTCATTCTCAAGAGAGATGATGCCAGTATGGATCGAGATGATAACCAGGTGAAGAATGGAAAAGGGTGGGTCTACATAGAGAGATTGCAGTAAGAGAAACTGGGAGGAGAGAAGAATTTTTGTGGGATAGAGAAAACTCACAATGAGTTGGCTTTGACTTAATATCAAGGACTGATGACACATGTTGAGCTGAATTCCACCTTCTTATCCCTGAGAGACATGGTGCTGAGGTTTGCTGAGTTTTCGTCATTTGGCCTAGAAATCCCTGGCTTTGCCACTGACTTCTAATGTCAAGTCATCGTGAGACAAAGCAAGGTCCCTACCTGCTTTAGCCTGGTCCAGCTAAGGTTTTATTCTTTTTTACCCCCCCATCTTTTTCTTTAATAGTTATGGATTTCTTTGGGAAACACCAAAAGAATACTTTTCCCCACTTCTACTCTTTAACCTAGCTCAGAACTAGCCTGCAACTGGCAAAGACATATTCTAATTTACCTACTTATAAAGGTGTCCCTAACTCGTTTCTGCAAACTCCTTAATCTTTTTCCAATTTCTTCCACCAAAGTGACTGAACTACTTTGACTTTTGTTGCTGGCAATCTCAGGCAGTATCACCTTTGTAATTTACTCCTATGGGGATAAAAGGTGAATCATCTGCCCTACCCCTTCATTTATTGGCCTGACAACCTCTGGTCATCCTTTACATAGTAAATCATTATTTAGAGGTTAATTTTCCAACCTAAATAGAAGGTTTAGATCCTGCTTGCTTCTACTTTGGCCTCCAAATGGGATTAGATGAGGAATAGGATTAAGTTCCAAAGAGCATGATTGGATAGAGCCAATGTGATTATTGTGAATTAATGATAAGTATAGTGGTATACTTATCATTAATTATAATTATAGAGTCAAAATAAGCTTTCATGGGATACTATATGGTCTTGAGACCAGGACCTTTCCTGCTTGCTACTTGAGTATTTGAGGGAGTCCTTTTGAGAAAAATGCCATTATTTATTGTGGACAAACACTATGAATTTGATTGAAAACAGAGAAACATACAAACATTTTAAAACCAAGAAAGAGCCTTTCCATCCTGATGCCCTTCTCTCCATTTTCCCAAAACCCTTTTTTCTGTGGATCAGGAATTACTCAGGCCTAGAGACATATTGGCATGGAGTAAACTATCGTCTCTTAGCTTCAGGCTTGATACATAATAGGGTAGGCGCTATGCATTTTTTATCTGTGATAATAATAAACATAGTAATTGAGTGTCTTCCATAAACCATGCTCTGTTCTAGATATGTCCCATGTATTATCACTTCGTCCTCTCCACAACCTAATATGATAGAGGTTATTAGCCCCACTTTCCATATTACATATCAGAAAACTGAGGCTGAGATAGTAAGTTATTTGTCAGAAGTCGTATTATTGGAGGATGCCAAAACTAAGATTCTGCCTGACTTCAAAGCCCCTTTATGATCTTTCGGTTTTGCCACTGTGCCACTGGTTTTATAAGTACTAGGGATAAGGCGGATAGTTTTATGAGTACCAGTGATTAGGGAGAGTCCTGGCATGGTGCTATAGATTAAGCACGGGATTGCTAACCAACCACAAGGTTGATGGTTCAAACCTACCAGCTATTCCTCAGAAACCGTATACGTGATCGCTTTGAGTCAGAACCGATTTGACGGCACTTAACAACAAAAACGGATTATGGAGGTTATGGCTTCTTAATGTCCTGTGTCTTCTTGGAATGAGATTACTAAAAGGACATTTAGTAGAATTTAGATTCTTAAGGCTAGTGAAAAGTAAATCTAGTCAGAGTGATAATCCTAAAGTTAATGAATGTCTCCAGAGACTGGTGAAGATCAGATAAAAAAAAGATCAGTCTAGAGGAGCAGTCTCCTTCAGATTACTTCATCTGAAGCTTTCGAAGCCTCTGGATTGAAGATCAGACTCTTTCATGACCTGATGACATTCACTCATGTCAATTCCCTCACAGCTTCTTGCCTTCAAGAGCAGTATGGGAAAGGACACTATGTAATTCTCTACCCAGAACAGTGTTCACAAATCACGGGCCCAGAGAGAAAGAGGCTAGTCAGAGGCAGAGAAGTGGTCTGTCCAGCCACCCCTTCTAGTTACCACATTTCATTGTTCAGAGAAATAAGATTCTCTATCCTCCATTTTCTTTTGCCTTTCCATCTCTGTCTCTACCCTCCCTCCACTGTACCTTATTTGTCACTTCCTTTCTCTGTTTATCCTTCGTTCGGTTCTAGTCTCCTTTTCTTTTTCCCTCTTTTTGTTGCTCTGTTCTTTCTTTGTCTCTGTTTCTGTAATTCCTCTCTCTGTGTCCTTTCCAGTGGCAAAGTTCAGATGAGAAAAAAAATGCTTATAGACTTTGAGTTTAGCTTCGCCCTTGGAATTTCATTTCCAAGGCCTTCTTTGCTGAGCTCTGTGTGACTTGGATCTTTAGGCCATGACATTCGCGACTGAAGAAGGGATAATATCAGGTGTTAGTTCTGTAAACCTCCTCCTCCTCTACAGCCACCTCTGCTAAACACCTAACTGTTCCTTCTCCCTGTCTGGCTTCCTTCTATCCTTTGCTTTCCCTCCAAAGCAATGCTGTTTATTTTCCCAGGGCTATTTTCTTGATCCTTACTTACTGGAGAGCACCTGATTACTACAGAAAAGCAATCCAGTCCTTATACATAGTTATTCTTGATACTCGGGGGGGTGGGGAGAAGGAGAGCCCCCAACCATCCAGAAAACCTGATCTCCCAAACTGCATGGTCAGATGTACCCAGTGAAACCTGTCCAGGACTGGAAATTTTATTTCTTTTCTTCGTTTCCCCACCCCTATTTTTTTTGGATGGCAACTATAAACTCTCCCGGTTTCTCTTCCTTGCTGGTGTGCAGTGAGCTTGCAGTACGAGGAGAACTTAACTAGCTTAATTCTGCTCATCGATCTAGATCAGAGTTCCATTGCAGGATGGAAGGAGGAGCAAGTCAATAGAAGAGAGAGAGGAGGAATATCAAAGGGTCCGAGAGAGAATATTTGCCCGAGAGGTAAGTGTAGCTTCTGAGAGTTGTCAGCCCATAGCTTTTAGCTCTTAATCTTTGGAACTGTAAATGAAATGAACCCTTCTTAAATGTTTTGTTTTGCCTGATATAACCAACATCAGCCATCCCCAGGTTTGTTCTCTAAAATTAAAAGTGGCGTATTGGGAAGCTGCAGATTTTTAATTTGTGCATTTTGCTGTTCAACATACAAAGGGAATTAAAACTTGGAGTGGCTGAATTTGGTAGATATAACTAGACTGAATATAGAAAATATTTTGGTAGGACTTCTGGAAGGGCCCTGAATCTTGCCTACCAAACCCTCTTCCTGCTTGTCCTCTTTCATTCTGGCTGTCAGTTTTAGGCATCTTTGCTTCTAAGTGGAAGGTACCACCTATACATTCATCTTATCTAGTCAGTTACATATTAGTAAATATTAGAGCACAGGTCTGACATCCATTCTCTGTGAGCTCCATGTTCCAGGCATAGTGGATACCACAATCCCCTCAAGTCCCTACCTAAACAGGAAGTATCTTTCTTCCTATATTTCTTACCTTCTTTCTTTAGAACATGAGTGGCTCTATAAGCCAAAAGGTAACTTGAATCCTTGTAGACAACTTTACTCTTAAGGTTGTTCATCATATCAAAACATACTTGATACTCATGTATCTGGTTGCCTTTGTCTACCAGAAATTCAGTGAAGGGAATGGATTGGCAAAAAATGTAGGATCCAGATAGCATTACCAACTTACAGTCAGATTAGCAGCACTGAAGGAAAAGTCAACTTCCCTTCATTGTCTAAAGATGACTAATTCTAATCACCCTGCTTAGATGGGCTCTGCTTTCCTCCCATTCCCCACTCTCCTTTCCCTAAGCCAGACAAAATAAACAAACGTATCTTTTCATCATGACCTTGTTCAGAAAACTATCATCTCCAACTTCAAGAAAATTGAACTCTGTTGTAAACTTGCTCCACTGACTTATGAGACCCAAGTACTTCCAAGAATCCTCAGTGGGGACAATGAAAAGATTACTTCCTCAAAGTCCAAGGAAAAGGAATCTTATTATTTTCTGTTAATAAAGATTTCCATCTAAGTCAGAAAAATCATTCCTCCAAATTAACTAACCAATAACCTGAAGAGGCTCTTATCTCTACCTACAAGCCAGTTGGGAGGAATGAGAGGAGAGATGTCATTTTATACAGCTGTGGTCAATAATACCCTAAATTATAGACAGAGCAGTTGATAGAAATAATTGAAAACATTTATATAGTGCTCTATTGTAAGCACTTGATGTAGACTAATTCATCTAATCATCATACCAGGCCTGTGAGGTAGATTTCATTATTTTCTGAGGCACAGAGAGGTTAAGTAACCACCTAAGGTCATTCTGCTAGGTAGCAGATGAGCTGCTATTTTAATTCAGGTAGTCTAGCCCCAGAGTCCATGCTCTTAACCCCTAAACTAACTAAACCACCTCTCAGTAGCTTGCTACTGGGATCTTCAAATTAAAACCAGTGACATCATAGCCTAACTGACTACCTGTGATGTGTCGTTTGGCTTTACTGACACATGGAAATGCCAGTCATATACCATCTATAGTCATAACAAAGGCAAAGTTATCTCTTCTCTCCTCTTTTCTCCTGGTTTCTAGTCTTATCAAGTCTCTACTAACATAAGAATTCTTTGCTAAACCTTTGTAGATTTATCACTTTCATTTCACCACTTCCTGACTCTTGCTGTGGTAGAGACATCAAGAATCTCAGAAGGTCTAGAAAAGGAAAAATGACCAAAACACCCACTGTGCTCCAAAGATTCTCATGTAGACGGGGAGCCTGGCCAGCAAAGGGAGCTGATTAAGGCTGGAGTTGTAGGTTCTGGGGGAGGAAGGAGCAGGAAGCAGGCCAAAAAGAAAGAGAAGTGGCAAGAAGGGTGTTTGGATGGAAATGCTGCTGCTGCAGTTCTCTCTGGAGCTTGAGCTGTGTTGTTGGGACAACTGCCCTACATATGCTCTGCTCTGCATGGAGCCCACTCTGCTCAGCAGCTGGACACTCTTGGTACATTTTTCTAAGGCTTGGGAGTCCACCATGATGCTCACTTCACTCCGCTCAGTGGCTTTGTCAGGAAATGATCCCCAAAGGGAATGTTTCAGACTTCCAATTTTTTTCATTTTTTTCTAGGTTCCTACCCATTTCCTACCCTCCTTGAGTCCCAAGTGTGAATGTCTTTCATTTTGGCCAGTGTAGAGAAAGAAATGGAATAGATTGAAGATGATTTCTAAAAAACTGAGTTTCTCTCTCTTGTATCCCTTTCTTTGAAGACACTCTTTAGGACCAAGCATACTAATTGTTTTGCTCAGCTTACCATTAATGAGAATAAGTTAAGACTTTAAAGGAAGTAATAATTAGATTAATACTTTCTTTTTCCCCCATTCCATACTCCTACCTTTATCAACCTCTCTTTTTGAACACTCTGGAAAGGCTAAAAACTCCTACTAATGTTCTTTCCCATTAAAGGTGAGACATCAGATTGGGTGTGTGGGTGTGGGTCATCCTGTCCCTGCTCCCTCTCTCCCTATTGGTGGGATGAGCTTTGGTTTGAGGACCTTGGGTATTCATAGCATCATGGACACCCTTTTTAGTTATGCCATGCTGTTTTCTTATAAGTTATTTTCCGTTTTCTCCCCCTCACCTAGACTGGCCAGAACGGATATCTAAATGACATCAGGTTAGTACCACTTAGCATGTTCCCTGCTTTTCGTTGAGCTTTTGTCAGTGAGGTTAATATAATCCTGTAATGATGCTTTTCTTTGATGTTAACCAACAGACTCTCCAAAGAAGCCTTTTCTTCTAGTTCTCACAAGAGAAGGCAGATTTTTAGGTACCTCTGTGTGATATCTTTCTCTCTCTTTTTTAAATTTAATTTTGTTTGCTGTAATTTTTTCAACGGAGTGAGTTTGCTCCATGCATGGCTGCTTGTGGAATAATGCAACTTGTGGATTTTGCAACATTGGATTCCTACCTCCCTTCCCCCCGTTAAAAAACAATTTTGTTTTTACTCTTTCTCAGTGACTTTATTTTTATCAATGCCACTTTGAGTCCTAGATTGGTAGTACAAGGGAATCCAAATAGGTGTGCCTGGAATAGGTCCTGCTCCCTCCCAGAAGTCTTGGGTATTTTTGTAAGACTTGAACATATATTAAGGTCAAAGAATGGGTGTCTTCTGGATGTATTTTCTGAATGTGTGAAAAGACATGAGAAATTTTTTTTTGACCCAGCATAGAGAATATTTTGTATCTCTAAAAAAGAATAATGTACACAAACACACTTATAAACATCTCTGCTTATGGATGATTTTCTCTTTGATACTATGTATGTACAAGATGACCAGTATCTTTCTGCCTTAGAATGAACTTAGAACATATTCTCTGTATGATTGTCCATAATTAGGTGCTCTTAGTGCTGGTGAAAACTGCTGTATTATCTTTCCCAATGCCTCATATTCTCCAGTTTCCAGTTAATTGTGAGGCCCTCCCTTTCATTTTAATCTCTCAGTCCCACCACAGAGGATTACGTGGGGCATTGATGAAAGAAGCACTATTTTAAGGCCCTGTCCTGGAGCTAGCTCACTTTAAGTGAAAAATGTAAAAGAATACTTCAAAAGATTTGCAGGAAAATGGAATTAAAAGATACTGAACTTTTCACACAAACTTTTTAAAGCCCCTTTGTATTCTTCCCATTTCTATTATAGAGAACTTGATCATTAACACTAGGATGTAGGCCTCCCCCTTTCCAAAGGGTTTCTCTTTCTGACTCTTGAACTATAAAGTGATTGAGTAGTTAGACATTTCATTCCCAATCTTTTACATGTCCTTCCCAAAGCTAGTCCTACCTGGAAAGTGGTTCTTGGGATGGAGGATTTGTTTCCCTTTCTATATCTCTGAACTCTTTTTTTCCTAGACCTTTTTGCACTGGGTCCTGTTTGAAAACCCCAAGCAGAGAGGGCGTCACAGTGCTGGTGGTGGTAAGGCATAAAGTCCTTCACCACCTTTTTTTAAGTTTTTGCTCCATATTTTTCACTTAGGGTCACAGATCATTCCAGAATGCCTTTAATAAAAGGCATTTTTATTTTTAAAACAGCTCCTAGGGACTATGTGTGTGACTTAAGTCACTGAGTTTCAACAGTAGCCAAACTTTAATTCAGTTTTCTCATACCATGATTTGGTAACTGGTTTACATCTAAGGAAACAAAAGTGACTAGCCCAAGTTTACATGGCTATTAGTGGCAAAATGAGGACGGACTCCTTGTCCAGTGTTCTTTTCATTTATCACTCAAACTCTCTGCAACATCACCCCTTCCTCTCTGAGTAGTGTTCCACTCGGACCCCTAATTTGTATTCATTGCTATGAATGATGCTCTTACTAATGCCATGGAGAATCAGACTGCATCAAACTGTGAAGATAATAGCTTTAAGGATCTGGTGAGCAAGTGCGGCCCTGTCCTCTCCAGACTTCCTTTTAATTTGCTGCTTTTCATACTGAGTTTTGATTAAAGATGTAGGTCATTTAATTGCAACTTCATTGACCCTTAGGGGGATAAATTCTTAGCCCATTTGGGTATCAGACCAGAATTTGGGTAGTTACAAGGGGATCTTCTCTAACTGATCTCCTGGTGTGGTGCTGTGAGGTAAAGCATTGGACCTCAAGGATGGTTTGAACCACATGATCAGCAGTTCAAACTCACCAGCTTGGAAATTCTATACAGGGTCACTATGAGTCAGAACTGACTCTTTGGCACTTAACAACAATAACTTCTTTAATAATACCTTTTATTCCAGTGTGTGTCTGTGAAATGTCAGTACACCTAATACCATTGTCCAGCTTGGCTATAACTCTGGTAACTTCCCAGTACTTTGGAAGATTTTACTCCATTGGTCAATAAGCCACAATGAGCCTCACTGATATTTATTGCCATCTCTGCCACAGGTCTCTCACCCACTTCCCAGACCCAACAAACTAGACTTTTCACCAGCACTAAATTGATTTGATAAAACTAAATAAGCATTACTTTGACAGGAATATGAGATGTCAGTGAATGCTCCCTGTCCTTTACCTCCATTTCACCAAAACATACACAGCTAGTCTAGTGCCCAGAATTGAATCTGAGTAGCTTTTCCTACCTGCCTTATTTTTAATGAAGTAGATCTAAATGACAAGAGGTTACATTTATAGAGAAGGATAACTTAATGTCTTTAGGGTAGATTCTCAAACCCTCATGGGAGTAGCATACTCCCAGCATACCTCCAGGGTAGTCTGATCATCAGATCATTTGCAGTTTGAACCATCACAATCTTGGAAGAGTGAATGAGTACGGAAGTGCTAGAGCACTTTGTTTTGAGCTTTCCCAGGGTACTCGGTTTAAAATTACCTCTTTCACTTTCTACCACTGGCAGAAAGAGAAAGTGAATGGCAGGATTGATCCAACAGAGCAATAGTCTTTGATTTAGGTATACACAGTTCATTAGGACTTGTCTTACAGAATTGAAGCCATAATGTCTTAATTTCAGAGCAGCTTCATCCATTTTATCCCTTTCATCCACAAACACCTTCATTGAGTTCTCTCAGTAGACTTGCCTTTGCCCAATGAGGTCTGGTGCTGTTTCTGGAAATTCCCTGATTTACGCTTCTTTATTATTTCCTATTCTAGATTTGACATTCCCAAGAGAAAGGGATAAAGTTTTGAAGACACAGGAATGTTTCCCAGTTCTCATTTCTAACTATGTGGAGAGAGAAGCATTGAGGTTATATATATAAATGTACTTGAGTTTGCAGATAAGAAGAATTAACATATTCCTAACCAACTGTGCCAGTAATTAAAAGCTAGAACAGTTGACCCTAGCTCATATTTTGCCCAATTTCCCTACAATGACTTTGGAGCAAGTAGGGATAATACCTTGCTTTTTAAAAGTAACTCTGAGCTTAGGTCTTTGGAGTTAAGGATATTGGGTGGAGGTTTCCTACTTGCTTTTGGTGGAATAGTGGTGAAAAGAAAGAGAAGTCCAAGCTACTGTGATTTTTGCTTAATACCTCGGAAACCCAGTACTGGGTCGCTATGGGTCGGAACCGACTCGATGGCACTTAACAACAACAACAACAACCTTCCAAGTATACATACCAAACCTTTGTGATTGCCATTTGGTTTCCTTATGTCCTTAATGGGGGAGCTGGGAGTCAGGAGAGGGATTCCTGGTTTTTGGTTGCACATTGATTGAGAAGCTGTAAGAACTTAACAAGACTAAGGGTTTTCAGGTCAACCCAGGCTGTCTTGAGTATAGCTGTTTATAATCATAGGCAGTGGTTATAACATTAATATAACTGATGTTTCCATGGCTGAATGAGCACGAAAAGATCTCTTTTCTCAATAGTAGAAGTATAAGTATGGAAACATCTAATAAATTAGCACAGTGACCTACCCCTTGCCATCCTGGATCCCAAGGGCTTTTTTTGCTTTAGCTTACTGAGAAGTTCCCAGACATCAACATGAAACTTTCATTAAACAGTGTGAGTTGAGTCCAACTATCAGACTTAAGTTTCCCAAGAGCTCCTTTAGGCCATTATACTACTCTTCCACCCCTGGAAAGGTGGCCTCTCCTGGCCTAAGACGTGTTATGTGAAAGATCTGTTCTGTGAAATATCCATGTCATTGATTACTCTTGCCTTCTAGCAAGAGTGCCCTCTAGGAGTACTTTTGTTTTAAGAACTGGTACTCCTCTGCTCCCCAGTATTCCCTGCATGTGTGGGATCCCCTCAGGGGCTGGGGAAGAGACCATAGCCAATCTCAGCATCATGTATGTGGTTTCTGTCCACTCTGGTCTGATGTATAGAATTAGTTGCCAGTGCACTGTCTCCCAGATTTGCCTTTTTTGCTCTTTGTGGCTGTACTGGATCTTGTTATGTCTGCTCCCATCAAATCTCAGTTGGCCAGCTAACTAATAAGAAGTCAGTGTCCATCCTTTCCCTACCCTCACCCTTTCTTTGTTATTAAAAGAATAGAAATGAACTCTCCTAGCTCTTTCTGCTGAAGTGGTGGGTAGGGGGTGCTCTGACCATTGTGGCCTCTGCAGGGGGAACCGTGAGGGGCTGAGCCACACCTCAAGTAGTCGCCAGAGCAGCACAGACAGCGAACTCAAATCCCTGGAGCCACGGCCCTGGAGCAGCACAGACTCTGATGGCTCTGTCCGGAGCATGCGACCCCCTGTCACCAAAGCCAGCAGCTTCAGTGGAATTTCTATCCTCACCCGGGGTGACAGCCTTGGCAGCAGTAAAGGTGGCAGTGCAGGAAGGATCTCCAGGCCAGGTATAGCCTCTCTCCTTCCAGGTCATGCCCATACCTTCTTGCTTATCTTCTAAGAAACATCACTGATACTTACTTTTAACAGAACACTTGTACCAATATAGTTTTCTGGAAAAGTAACACAGCCTGGTAAGGAGAAATTTGGTTCCTTGAAGCCATCATCCATTTGCGTCCTCGCTCTGATTTCCTTTCAGATCTTCTTGCTTGATTTAAAAAACAAACAAACTGATTAAGGGTAGGTTATTTTAATTCATTTCTGACTAAGGCCTAGGTCCAGATTATATACCAAGATAAAAATGATAGCTGCTTTCATTTGATGACCTTTGAGATTATAAAGTAGGTTTGCGGAGTAGAGGGAGCTTCTAAGTTGAGCTATTTGTCATAAATTAGTAGTTGTCCATAGGCTAGAACTTACAGACATGTTGTACTGTTACATACAGAGTTCTGCAATAGCAGTAATAGCAAACAGTAATTTATAAGTGGATACGTATATAGATAAGCTGGAGAGGTGTGGGATGGTGTATGGGAGTATACCCATGAGCATATACAGATATATCCAAGTATATAGCATATAGGGGGCAAAGTTATGCAGACTTCTTAGCCATAACCACACACCTTGGAAGGACTGAGTCACTGGGTTTGAAGACTTAGAATCATAGCTTCAAGGAACATCTAGTTCAGCTGGCACAGTATAGTCCATAAAGACAATGTTGTACATGCTACTTGGTAAATAGTGACTGGAGTCTTAAAAGTTTGCAAACAGTCATCTAAGATACAACTGTTGGTCTCTTTCCATCTGGAGCAATAAAGAGTGAAGACAATCAAAGACTCTCAAGGAAGCAATTAGTCCAAAGGGCTAGTGGACCACATGAACCCCCAGCCTTCACTAATCTGAGACCAGAACTAGATGGTGCTGGCAGGGATCACAATAGAAGGCCCTGGGCAGAGTGGCATAAAAATAATAGAATAAAACTCAAAATCTTCAAAAAGACCACTCTTACTGGTTTGATAGACACTGGTGGGAACTCTGAGAGACAATTGGAAATGAAACCACTCGCAGAGATCCCCTTTGAGCCAAACAGTACGCAGCCTATAAGCTGAACAGTGACACCTGTGAGGAACGTGCTCCTTGCAGCAGTAAAGCACATGAAACCAAAAGGGCAGTATTTCCCCCAAACACAAAGTTTAGAAGGCAAGTAGGCTGGGCGAATGGGAACAGGTAATGCAGGGAAGAAGTGAAAAGAGTGTTGTTACATTGAGGGAGCTGTAATTAACATCACAAAGCAAAAGATGTATAAATTGTTGGATGAGAGATAATTTGCTCTGTAAACTTTTCACCCAAACCACAATAAAATTTTCACCAAAGAGAGAGAGATGCTACTATTACTGCTCCCCTGCAGACACTGGGAAGGAGCAGACCCTCTCACACGTTCTACGTACAAGGCTATGACAACCCCTTACCTCTCTATACCCAGTGGGCTTCTATTTTGCCATCCTCCTGTCTCTACAAATGGTTTGAATCTCATCCAAGAAGCTCTGTGAGCCTTGTTCTTAGTAGCTATCAGTTGTGGTGATGCCTCTGACTGTTAAATCTCTATTGCCCTTCTCTAGTGCCTCCTTTCTAATCTCACTGCCTCTGTTTTTGTCCAGACCTTGAGATGCTTGTATAGCTCACTAGCATACAAGCGATTTTCCTGCTCCATTCCAGCCCCTTTGCAAGCCACTTTACCAACTAAAACAGATCTAATCACATAATTCTTCTCTAAAATTGCATAAATTTTAAATTTAAAAAAAAAATTTATATTTAAAATACAAAATTCTTGTTTTCTTCACTACCTATATAATGAAAGTCCAAACTATGTAACCTCACTTCCTGACTCCAGTTTGCTGTCTTATCTCATTTCCTGACTTCCATCCTCCTCAGACTGTTCACTCATTTCTTGAATCTAGAATTAACTTTGTCCTCAGCCTGACAATTTTGTATTTTATCCTTTAAATCCATTTCTCCTCCTCTTCCTCTTCCAATCCTTTCAGGTGTTAATTCTTTCTCATCATTGTCTTCATAAAACTTTGTTCATATCATTGATATATTCTTTTTACTTACCAGATTATAACAGTTGCATGACTGCTCATTTTCCCATTGAAAGATTCTGTGCTTTTAAAGGCAAGGACTTATGTTCTCTTCACAGTGCCTGGCACAAAGCACATACTCAGTTGAAATGTGCTATGTGAATGCATACATGCCTAGAGAATCAAGAAATTGAAAGGAAAAAAAGTGGGTGAAGGTTGGATGTACATATTATGCACGTGGGAAAAGACAAGACAAGGTGGCCTTCTTAGCCATGTAAGAGATGCTGCAAGTAGAGAAGAAACTTTTTAGTTTTGTGTGCTTGACTGTTCTGAGGAACGTGTTCCTCACAGAGGTTACTGTTCATTTTATAAGCCTGTGTATTGTTTGCTGAAAGGGGATCATTTCCCAATTAAGAGACCAGAAATGTGGACCTTTACAGGAAGTAGGTACTCATATTTCAGCTTTCTAATTATGGATGGAATCCTAGGCATGGAAAACAAACATGTTTGGAGTCTTTGTGCCTTGTGGTATATATGTATAGGGTATGTATGTGGCACTGTAGGATAAGCACTGGATTGCTAACCTCAAGGTTGGTGGTTCAAACTCACCAGCCACTCCTCTGAAGTGCTATGAGTCAGAACCAACTCGATGGTATTTAACAACAACAGTTATGATGGCCAGGTTTAGGCATTTAGGGGAGATGCTTTAGCTGCCTTACATTTTGTAATTCCAAATTCCAAAACCAAACTCTTGATAGACCAAGTTGATTCCTGTTCCTGAATCTCCTGAGGTAAAGATTCCTATCAGAGGGAAGCTGAAATGCATCTATGCTCATCTAAAGACTGGGGAAATGGACAATAGGAGAGTGAAGAGAGAGGGCACAGAAAGAGGAGAACCCTGAAGTTGGGTCTCTAGGGCTGGTATGTTCATGACTTGTGCTTACAACTCTTGGTGGGTTTTCTCTTTGCCTTAGGTATGGCACTAGGTGCCCCAGAAGTGTGCAACCAGGTCACCTCATCCCAGTCTGTCCGGGGCCTTCTCCCTTGTACTGCCCAACAGCAGCAGCAACAGCTTCCTACTCTCCCACCCACGCCTCAGCAACAGCCGCCTTTGAATAACCACATGATCTCACAGGTGAGTCACCACTCAGTGTCAGAGCCCTCTCCACTATGATTCAAGTGAGTTCTGGAAGTACAGTTATGTCTCTTGTGCTGTGGGTGGCAGGAAGGATCAAGTTTTGGATACCACCCTCTCTCCCACCCCTCATTTGTTAGTTGTGGGGAAAGAAGAATAGGGCAAAGGTTTGGCCAAAGTGCTCTCAGAAGAGTCAGTCTAGGAATTTACTGCTTTATATTTCTCCCTCTTCCTCCTTAGTGGGATCTTTGACCTGCTCTCACATTTCTATTGTACCCCATCTCCCACTATACTCTGTGTAATAAATAAGGGGATTTTCCTTAGCGTATCCATATATGGAGCTTCAAAAGATCATAACTTCCAGCATAGTCTGACTGAATGTGTGTGTGTGTCTCATGGCACAGAAACACATGCTTATGTGTTACGGTTTTGGGGAAAAGGAGTTAACACTCATTCAGGATTCCTATACATATAACACAAGGCACAAAGACTCCAAATATTTTTGTTTTCCATGCCATAAAAATACTGTATCAACTCTGAAATTATTTTCTGTTAAAGGATTTCTATGTGCTAAAAGATTGAGCAAATAAATATTTTCAGGATGTTGGCAATAGTTTTTAACTGTCAGAGTAGTGAAATAAAAATATGGAATGGGATAAGCTAGAAGAATCCTGTGTTGTTGAATTGAAACTGGCAATAGTATGAATTTACAGTTTTTAATATATAGTTGGAATCCTGATGTGGCACTATAGGATAAGCACTGGACTGCTACCTGCATGGTCGACAGTTCAAACCCACCAACTCTTCCTCAGAAACCCTATCCAAAGTCGTTATGAGTCAGAACCAACTTGACAGCAATATAGAGATATAGAGATAGATAGATGTGTAATAGTCATTTCTCCTTTTTGCTAGACTGGTAGATCTTGGGACCAACTAGAGTTTGAATAAAGTTGTGCTTCTATATAGACCATTCAAGTCATCAGCATAAGACTCAGGTCCTGTTCTGAACTGGAACTTCAGTGTTGTAGACTTAGAAGTCACCTCAGTGCTCTGAGCAGAACTTTGCTGAGATAATCACTCACTCTCTTTCTCCACAAACAGAGTTCCATTGCACTGTCTGGAAGTATTGTCTATAAGACAATTCAGGAAACCTATATATCTACATGGACTTTTTTTTTTTTTTTTCGGTACAGTTTAAATTTACACTTCACCTCTCAGGTTCTCTTTTCTCCCTGCTCAGTTAGTCCAGCTTGGCTTTAGATGTAGCTCTTTGCTTGGTACAAGAAGCAAGTCCCAAACACTAATATCTCAGGAACCAGGTATTAGATTGGAAAGACCCCAGAATGGCCCAGTACTTTCTCATCTCAAATATAGTGAAAATGAGCTAAAACAAAGAAGAGTGGGAACCTGGGAAACCTCTGCTTTGTATCTTAATGTGACTCACATGCAGATCAGTCCTGACCTTTATCTTAGTCCCTAAATCAGTCTCTATAGTCTTGACACTCTTATTCTATCACTGTCCACCCCCTTGCTCACACCAGCTTCCTTCTTTCTCACGTAAGCATAAGCATGTCTGTGGTTTTTTCTCTGTGTTTTGTTGCAAACCTGCAAACTACAAATGCTGAGCTACTCTCTCTAGCTATGACCTACTGTGTGTGTTATAGGTCTCACTTTTCTAAAATCCTAATATTTTTTAGTTCTTTTTCTAAAATGTGTGTATTTCAATACAGTTTTGCTCCTTATTCTTCCCCTTAGTCCTTCATCTGCTTCCACCTTACTTCCATACCTAGAAACAGAAAGCAAGAGCAGGAAAAATAGAAGAAACAGACATTTGGGACGGGAAACATTTTAGACAGGATGTGCATGTGACTAGCCCTAACCCCCAAATTTCTGTTCAGATTCTGTGCTTGCTGCCAGACTTGTTAGCTTGAAGATCACATGAGTAATCCTTTGGTGTTGTATTTGTCTCCTGCAGGAATTATGGTGCTAGACCTGGCACCAAAGATTGGGGAGTATTATTGGACACAGAACTCTCTCCAAATTTAAAAATCTTTGTCTGGATAAACTTTGGTGTCTCTGAAAACACTTATGGGAGTTGGCTGCTACTTTATAAGCACCCCTTCACCACCACTATCCCCACTATATGAGGGACTTCGAAAAGTTTATAGAAAAATGGATCTAAAAGATAATGCATTTTTTCTATGAATTAATTTGATGTACCTCATCTATATCTTTTTTCTTTTTGTCATCTTTTTCTTCCTCTCCTTTTATCCTTTTATTCTTCTTGTCTCCTTTTTCTTTTTCTTTTTCTGAGGCTCTTGAAACTCAAGAAGTTGCTGAGTCCCAGAATAATTATGCAGTTAGTTGCTCAAATGGCACATAACAGTGCATGGATGAAGGAATTGATTATGTGTAGACACACCACTGTGCTTAAAAGTTTTTCTTTAAAGGAAAACCTTTGAAAAGGAGTAGGTGGTTTTACCCTTTAACTCTGCAACAAAAAGCATTTGCACTAGGTGTGAGGACAATGTTGACTAAATTATGCTTTTTCCCTGTCTTCTGTAAGTAAAACTGTAAAACCAAGGGTTGAAGTTAAAGGACTTGTAGTTAAGTGCTGTGGAGTCGGTTCCGACCCGTAGTGACCCTGTATAGGGTTTCCAGGGAGCAGCTAGAGGATCTGAACCACCGACCTTGTGTTTCACAGTCCAGTGCTGATCCTACAGCAACATACCAGGAGTCCCTTGTTACTGTTAAGTGCTGTCAAGTCAATTTGCTTAAAATGGAGTGGTGGGACTCTTCATTAGCTACCCAAAATGGAGGGGCTACAAAGGCAAGAAGTTACTGGCTTATAAGCTTTCAAGAGGGAACCTAGATTCAGAGGGCAAGAAGGAAGGTAGAATCTTCACTGAGTAGTATACAGTCTAGGCGGGGCTGGTGAAATGAAATGCGGATGGGTTTCTTGTGATACAATAGTGAAGAATTGTTATCAGGACTGCTTGTGAGGGTTGGAAATGTAAAGGTAGACGTTTTGTAGCAAGGAGGGGAGTGAATAACTTTTCAGCCTAGGAGGGGAGGTCCCTGGGACCATCAAGGGAGAAGCGCATAGAGCGGGATCCTACCCAAAGATTCAGTGATGCCTGAGATGGAACAGTTGGGGACTTTAGACACAGAGAGGGAGAGGAGCTGTGTGCTGACGACCAGTGGGGGTAGGCTTGTAGTCTATACCCTTTGGTTGGTTGGTTTGTGATGCTTGGAGGGGACTGTAACCATAGCAATGAAAGGGGCAGGCGGGGATGGAGTGGGACTCTTAAGGAATCCTCCGCCAGTCCCAGTGTCTTCAGGCATCTAAGAGCCAATGTCTTAGCCAGAATTCACCAGCAGGTGGCAGTCACATTCCTCAGGGTCTGTCTGGATTCCTGGTGGTTTCTCTGAGATTCCTTAACTCTGAAGTTAACTCTCCAAGGAGAGAACTAAAATTGAGGTTGGTAGTTAAGTGCTGTCAAGTCGGTTCTGACCCACAGCGGCCCTGTTGTATAGGGTTTCCGAGGAGCAGCTGGTGAACTTGAACAGCCAATCTTGCAGTTAAAACTGACTTTGCAGTCCAGCATATTAACCCACAGTGCCACACCAGGACTCGTAAACCAAGTTAGGCCCTTCCATAAAAGTAAAAAGATAAGGATGATAGGAAACATGTTTAAAAGCTACCTGCAGAGCTAAAGTAAATGGAAATACTGTTATCTGACGGTGCATGGAGGGGATTATAATCATTGTAATGCAACATGGTGTTTGATTTGTTGAATGTAAAACTGATGATCTGCCCTGAAAAATTTCACTCAATTCACAATAAAAACTTAAAATAAAGTTTCCAAAGAAAGTGAAAAATAAAAAACATGAAAAGTAATTCATTAACAACATGTAAAAGAAACCTTTAAAACCACTTATACAGCATACAGTAAAAGTATGTATCACATTATTACTTAAAAAGCACAAATCTGTACTTGGGTACAACACTGTCACATGTGTTAAGTGACAGTGGAATCATTTATGCTGAGGAATTTTTAAATAGTCTTCAGTTTAGGACTAGACTGGTCTACCATTTGCCTCACCTACCCCATGAATTCTACCCAGACTGAAAAACGGTCTCTCAGTTAAGATAACTGACAGAAAAGGTCAGTCAGTTGTAGAAGATCTCCTAAAAGATTTTTCAGTTACTTGTAACTTGCAAATAAGTGATTGATGATGCCACATGAGACTAATACAAATTAATGCTGACCAGTACGGACAGTGTCATTTCAGATCTTAGATTCTTCCTGGTCACGGATTTGGTTCATTATGTTAAATTTTGATATATTTGAAATTTGCTGAAATGTCTAGTTCCTACATATGAAAGCAATCTGAAACCAATCGATGTCTATCCTATTTGTATCCATATGTTATTCAGGTGTTTAAATTTTTTATTTGAATAAAATTAAATGCATTTCTGAAGATTTAAAAAAAAAAAAGGCTACCTGTATAAGCAGTTTGTGCTGACCAGCATTTATATTGGAATGCCTTGGCTGACAGGAAATACATGAATATGTGTGGCCGTAGAGCTAAGAGTTTATTTTCAAGGCTGCAGCAGTGTCTTCCCAGGTCACATAGTAGATTTTTAACTTCTTTCTAACCAAACTGACTTTCCATTTATTTAATCGATATCAGGACCTCTGCGAAAGCCTCTGGAGTATTGCCCTTTTTGGAGGGAGGGGTCTTGTAATTCCAGGACACTCAGCTTTGGGTGCTACTAGTCCTCTCTATGAAAGAGTCTTCCTGGAGATCTGTGGCAGGAAAGGAACTTGATGTTTTGCCCCTGCACACACGCTCTGAATATTCTCAATCTGGAGAAGGAGGAGCCTCTGGAAAAAGCTTGGATTGTTTGGTTTGACTTCTTCCTTTATATCCTGCCCACTCCTGAGGGAGCAAGTGGAAAGAATGTGTTAAGCAGAACTATGTTTCAATACCAA